TATTGGGGATTCAGATGCTATTTTGGTTCAAAATCATTCATCATCTCTTATGCATAATATATTTCTCTTTCTTTATCTCTACTTTCTAGAAATTTCATAAAATTGCCTTGATGTGGATGTTTTAAAATTTTTCCTTCTGGGTTCTTAGTGGGCCTTTTCAATTTGGAAACTTGTGGGCTTCAATTATGAGAAATTAAAAAAATGTATCTTTCTTTCAAAATTTCTTCCTTTTCTTTTTTCAGTTCTTCCTTTCTGGGACTTTTATGTATTAGTTTGGGTCCTCCAAGAAGCAAATGCTAGGACAGGATTAAACATGTAAGGATTTTGTTAAGGGAGGTTCGTGTGAGAGAAAATGGAGGGTGACCAAAGAAGGCTGTCGGGCAAATCTGAGCCCTGGTGATGGAGACAGGGAGGGAAGGTTGGAGGAGACACATCCTAGACTGCCGTCCCGGAGCTTAAGTCCCCATAGGAGTGCCACCTCTTCCTGGAATGAACCTGCCTTAGTACCCCTCCCTCCCTCAGTCCACGGCTGGGAGCAGAGATTGAGGGATCCCAGCCTCCGCCTGCTCCACTCCCTGAAGGCGGAGGTCAGCCAGGTCCCATCTCAGGGCTGCTACAGCCTATCATGTGGACACTGTCTCTTGCATTGACCTTGTGCTTTTCTTATCTTTTCTTTCCTATCCTTGATCCTTAAAACAGAATCCTGCGAGGTTTTCTCAGCTATGTTTTCCAATTATTTTCTCTGCTCTGATATTTTTAATTTCTAAGTGCTCTTTTTTGTTCTTGGGATCTTTTTTCCAGCTTCGTGTTCTTGTTTCATGTCTGCAGTGTAGTCTTTTCTCTCTGGAGATCAGCGTGGGCCTCAGACATTTCTTTTGCTCCCTACTTTGTCTCTGTTACTCCAGGTTCCCTTCATGCTTTCTCTTGATCTTTCTCATTTGTGTTAGAGCCTTTCCTTGAATGGCTGACGACCCTAGGCTGCATTTGGGAGAGGCACTAGCAAGCCATGGGAAGCGGTGGGTGGGAGGGCTGGGTTTCATCCCGCACGTTGGGTGACTCCCATGTGTTAGTACCAGGAGGTCTTTCCTCTCAGCCCACTGAGTTTTCCTAGAGACGACTCCGCCGTTCTCCTGCACAGCGGCCATCAGGCGCCTGGGTGCTGAGTGGAGGACGGAGGTCATGGGTCTCCCATTCGGTATGCAGATTTTCCCCTGACCCCCATTCTGTTCCAGTCCAATGCTTCACCCCCACCCTCGGCTAGGAGTGAAGAACCCAAATCCATGCTCTCTCTGGTTTTCTCCAGAGTAAACCTCAAATCCTAGCCTGGGGATTCTGTTTCCTATTAGGAATTTCAACCAGTTTTCATGTTCCAGTTCTACACAGCAGTCCTGCCTTCAGAGGCAGCCGGGGCTGTCCCACACTGCGCCGTGGAGAGCATGCTGCTGGCTTCTCGCTGCCTCTCCCTCGGCAGGCCCTTGAGCCCAGACTGGGCTGCTGTGCCCTGTGCCTTCCTACATTTTTTGAAAAATCTCTTGACTGCTGTTGTCTCCTTTCCTGTTCTTTTTGTCCTTGTGGATTTTTACCTTTTTAATTCCTTTACTCCCAGTTTTGTTGAGTTCAGGAGAGAGCAAAAAGAAACATTTGTTTAATGCACTATATTTTCCTCTTAAAATTCTTTTTAATTTCCTTTCCTGATTGCCAAAATAATGAATTCAGTGCTTTGCAAAGAATATATGCTGTACCAGGAGGTGTAGTGTTAGAACTGCTTTTTAGTTAAATCGAGAGAGGCAGGCCAATGCCCGAGCCTCTGTTCTCTCACACGGGGAAATTGTGTCCATCTGGCAGCTAATCATCTTCATGAGGCAACGCTTGGGAGGGGCCTGTGCATCACAGGGAGGCTGAATTTGCCCCCTGCTTCGTCACGTGCTCAATGTGTCCCCAGAGGCGAGTGTCTTCATCTCTCGTTGGTACTTGGATTAAAATACTGCCTATCCCAAAGATTGTTAGGATGAATTGAGATGATGTGTGCAAAGTGCTTAGCACAGACTGGGGCTCGGGCCACGTGAGTCCCCCGTTCTTCTGTTCAGACCGGGAAGAACTTGCTTTGGCAGCGTTGCTGTGATTTGCTTTCTCCCTCGGCTGTCCGTCAGGTACCCACTCCCGGGACCAGAACTCGGTTTCCCTGTGCAGGCCCTGCCTCCTTCCCCTGCTGTCTGCTGCTGCACTGCCAGGGTCCTGCCTCTCAGACTTGTCGCATGCTGCCCTTTGTTGTGGGAGTGAGACCCTCTGTCTTCTCCTAAATCTGACAGCACCTCTAATGGCCTACTGTTCATCCAAATGACTCTTGTTGGAATATTAGTCATGAGCAGAATAATATCTTTGAAATGTCCCAAATTTCTTTAAAGAGAAGAAAACGAAAACCACTCTCTTGACTCTGGTCCTCCAGCTCAGGTGCAGAGGGGGCTGCAGGTGGTTTGAGGAGTAAATGCGGGTGAACAGCCACCGGGGACAGCGCGGCGGGACTGGGACAGAGCCAGGGAAAAGAGGCATTCTCTTCACCACCTGGGTCCTGCCATGAGGACCTTCTCTGTGACCGCAGAAGAGGGGGAAGCAGCAGACTGGTGGAGTGGGAGCAGAATTTCTCCACGAAGACTGTGAGGAGGAGGAGAGACTGAGAAAACGAATCACGTTGGTTCTACGGAAGATGCACCGAAGCGTTCCGTCAGGTCAAACATCTTCACTTGCACATTGTAAGCAAGATTCACGGAGCTGGAAGAACATATCAGCCCTGCCCTCCCTGTTGCTTAGCAACAGCCTCTTTCTCATTCCCTGCAGGTCCCAAGGGGCCATTTTGAAGGTGGGGGCAAGGGGTGGGGGATGAGGTAAGATAACCACCTGGTCTGCATGATAATGAGACGTTTGGCTCCACTGTGCGGGAGGGACCTGCCTTGAAAATCAATGAGGCAGTTAGGAAAACATTTATTTCCCTCACTTTGGGTTTGTTCTGTGCTGTCTCTGAGAATTAATGTTTACCTTTGAGAGATGCGTGTTTGTATGCGCGTTTGTATTTTTGGTCGTCTGGTGGATAATTGGGAGAATAAAAGGCAAACCCATAACCCACAACAATGGAGAAACTCAGAACGTTGGTCTTCTTGGGCCCCTGCTCTGGAAATTGGATCACAAAAGCCCTTTTCCTGAATTGTCCTGTGCGACCCCAGTGTCTCTCTTGCCGAAGTCCCTGAGAATTCCCATCTTGTGGGAATAGCCCAGGTGCCAGTCCAGGGCCTCCAGGAAGCAGGCACTAAGATGACATTAACAGTGCAAAGATTTTATCTAGAGAAGCACCCGCGTGGGAGAAAAAAGGGAAGGAGCCAGGAGAGCTGGCCAGAGTGGCCCCCGGCTGCCCTGAGTGAAGGGGAGAGGGAGGGAATATTGAAGCATCCTAGCCTGCCCTGGAGTTTAAGGAAGGTTCCACATGGCCACACGGCCATTTGACTAGCTCCAGCCAAAGTCACTGTCAGAGGAGTCCCCTCCCTGTGGCTTCCTCATGTCCATGCTGTGCTCAGTCATTTTGGGGCACAGCAGCGAGGGTCCTTGGACACCCACTCCCCCTATACTGGGATGTCTGCAGGGTGCATTCTTATGGGCTCATTCCCAGACTTGGGGAGTGCACTGCTCAGAGGTGGGGAGGGGTGAATCTGCGGTGGGGGGCTATTCCACGGGGCAGGGGAGGGATACCTGGGAAGGTAGATAGAGGACCACACAGTGGTGGATGGAGAAAGGAGGTACTATTGGAGAGAGGGATGAACCTAGGGACAGGCAGCAAGAGTGGGAACTGGAGTGCCCCAGGGAGACCTTCTGTGAAGAGGAAATCATGTTTAGCACAAGCTTTGAGTCTCTCCTCTTGTTCTCCCTCCCCGTGGTACTGCTGCTCCCTGCAACAGGTCTCTCACAATCGAACTTCAATGGGAAATGCTACTACAAGCTGGTCTACTTACACCTACTATATTTTTTCCTTTACTATAACAACTGATTATACTTATAAGTGTTTGAAAACAAAATTTCCTTTTCCCATGTAATTATGCGTTTGTTTCCATTTTATCCTCTCTAGAAAATCATGATGTTTTCATTCTCCTGTGTAATTGAGTGGTGTCAGAATCACTGGCTCGGGGCCTCCAAACTACCGTGCGGCCCTGCAGTTTCTCTTTTCCTTTTAACCACGTAGACTCGGGTAAAGTCTGGTACCTGAGATCATCTTGTGTGGTGCTGAGGGGAGAGGAAGGGGACAGACAGTAGAGGGACGTGTGGCCTGTCCATGTTCAGCCCCTCCTGCCCCTTGAAGACAGAGACAGCTTGTTAAGGAGACTGTTTTCTGATGCTCCAGGTTGTGACCAGCAGCAAAGTGAGCGATGGTCCATGGAGGACACCATGACAGGGAGGAACACCGAGAAGAGAGCCACTCAGAAGGGGTGTCAACAAGACCTCCTCTCCCTCACTGGAGACTAGAGGGAGTTGACCCTAGGGAGTTAGGGTGGGAAGGAGGAAAGGAAGCTGATCCTTGGCATATGTTGGCTTTCACAAGTGATTACTCAATGCCAAGTGCATGCCAAACCTTAGCCCACTCCTCAGTGCGGACCTCCAAGGCAAGAAGTGAGGAACTTGCCCCAGGTGACACCGTTGGTGGAGGAGGGCCTCACTTCCAGTCTGCTCTACCGCAGAGTGTCTGCCGCAAAGCTCTACATTGTACTGAGACCAGGGCAACAGATGAATGACTGAGGAAGGGTCAGGTCAGCCTGAGCTTTTATGGCCACTGAGTCACCTAGCAGGAGAAACTTTGCAGGGGCTCCTTGAGGACTCCTGACCCCCACCCTGGAGCAGCTAGCCCATGTGCACAGGTGCTCAACCTCACACGTTTGACTGGGACACTGTCAGCATGAGCAAACTGGCCTCCTGGTTCCAGGCCAAGGCTCCATAAACAAATCTTTCTTAATTAGCCCTGGCGGCTCAACACCTCTAGTGCATCTAGCCCATTTAACTGCTATGCCTGCTCTTGTTGGATCCGGTTCTAAAGTAAACTGTGTTTTTTGAAAGCTGTTGCATACAGATGAGTTGGCAGCCGGTCTGAGCTGACCCACAGACATAAAAACCAACAGGGCCTCAGACACCCTCACTTGGCACACCCAAACTCTTGGACCAAAAGTGCAAGGACTTGCTCACATCAAGGATCCAGCTGCTTTCTTGGGGACCAAGAAATTGAGTTTTTGTCTCTACACTTCCTCTGGCACTCCATGAGGTAAGAGGGAGAAATGTCTCCTTGCCCTTTGTAGAAAAAAGAGTTAATTCTGGTGGAAACTGAGCCCTCTTTTCCCCACCTCAAGTCTAGACAGACTGTCCACCACTCCTGGGGAATGAAAGCGTGGTTTTAACTCACTCAACTGATGCTTGTGAGCTTCTGGTCACACATGGATTCTGAGCTGTGAGCTTCATCCTGCTCTCCCTCGGCCATTTCACAGCTCTGAGCTGGAGGGCAGTTAAAACCTCTGATCATGTCACATCTGGTTCCATGGTCTTCTCTTCTTGGTGTAGAGCTCTGAGTGGGGCTTCTGTCTCTGATGGCATCCTTCAATTGCTGCAAGATCTTGCATAACAATAGCAGAAGCTCTCTCAAGCCTTTTCCAACTTTAAGGTAGAGTATAAAGGTGCTAGTGAGGTCTATTATGGAAAAGGCTTAAGGCTCATCTGGGTGACTGGTGTTAGTAAGACATTTCACTTACCTTCACTGGAATGGTTTTCTCTCATTTTCTGAAATGTTGTATGATTCCATGTGAATGCATTTGGATTTCTCAACATTTGTTCAGCTCCCTAAATGCTGCTGTGACAAAAGCTCCGTGGCAGTGAATGCCACTGTTCGCCTATGATCTGCTTTATATGAGCCCAAGAATGAACAGGCATGGGACCCCCTTCTCCAAACATCTATGTCTTACAGATTCTGTGCATAGTCACTCAGAAGAAGTTTGTCTTTTGCATATTTAGGAAAAATGTGTGTCTTTTCTGTAGTTGGGCACAAAAAATGGAGCAAAATATGGTGATTTGGGTAAGGAGGCCATGGTAGACGAAGACTTACCCAGCCCCTGGCAGGTGCCCTTCAGTCACGGGCTCTGCTCACGTTGTCTTATACGACAGTGTGCTGTAAAAGTGTCACCTCACTATGTCAGCTTCAGTTTTTCAAAGCACAATGGGGTAGGAGCACCTACCCATGAAGGGAGAAGCCATCAGAAAAGTGGTTTTTGTTTTTGTTTTTGTACTTAAGGTGTGAGGATGGATTTTCTTTTGTGTGAAGAAGCACACCGAGTCAGTAAGGGTGCAGGGCTGGACTTGTCAAAAAGCTCCATGAGTGGATTCCTTGTGAATGGTTCTTGGAGCTTTGATGCTGTTGGGGTTCTGTTTTTCTCTGGTTCTTTGGAAACATGTAACATGCTCTATTGCCAAGCGTGCTCTGCTCCGCAGACCTGAGACTCGGACTTTCTCATGCATGTCTCTTTCCTTCTCTCGGCAATTCGTTGTTCTGTGCCAGTTGACAAATCTACTCTGGACCTTTGCACAGCTCGGTGATTTTCTAAGGATTCAGCTTGGACTCACATGCTTGCCTTTTATCTGCCCCGTGGCTTCTGCGGATTGAAGGCTTCCTAATGCTTCTCTTAGAGTTCTCCCCGGGGTTGCTTATATGTCCCAGCAGTTTGATTCTGAGTTTTGACCCAAATTTCACTCCTCTTGCTTCTACAATTTAAGATGCTAATGATAACTATTGTCTTTCTTCTTTTCATTATTGTCCTTCTCATTCATATTATTATTATACATACAGGTGTTTTTCCTTATTTGCCTTTCAACACGCTTACAATGGGCCCCCACTACGTTCTGGGAACTGTGATAGGTCCTGGGAAATTAGTGACTGGCCCTTGTTCTCATGGTACTCACAGTTCAGGGGGATATGTGTGTGGAAACAGGCTATTACACTCCAGCAGGATAAACACTGTGATGAAGAGGGACTGTCACACAGCAGTGTAGTCCTGATATAGTCACCGCACAAGAAGGACATCCTACTTTGCTTATAGAAGAACTCGTGGAAGCATGATCTTAAACTCCCTAGGAAGGCAGGTGGGGGCAGGACAAAGGGCCTTCCAGAACAAGGAAACGGCATTTACAAAAATATGGAGGCATGGGAGAGTGTGGCAGGTACAGGGAATACCAAGCTGGTGTGGCTGGAGGGGGGTGGCATGGGGAGGGGTGAAGAAAGATGAGACAAGAGAAGCTGCAGAGCAAGCACATGGATAAAGGGCCTCAAGTGCAATGCTAAGGAGCTCGGGCAGTATCTGGAAGGTAAGAGAAACCATGTAAGATCATATGTCCATTTTAGAAACGCTGCTTTGTCTACAAAGTGCAAGGTGGATTGGGGTGGGTAAGACCATTGCCAAGGAAACTGGATAGGAGATGTTAAGAGGCAAGATACACAAGATCTAGTGACAGACTGGCTGCTGGGATGAAGTGTAACTCTAAAATAGGAACACAAGGGTTGGCTGGTCTCATTTAGGAAACTTCCCCAGAGTGACAAACAAACTTTGAATGGAAAAGAGTGTTTCTTTACATTTCCCTCACACATCCACTGTGGCCCCTTGGCCGCAGAGACAGAAGTTAACGGCCCGCGGATGTTATGGGGAGTCAGGGACTGTGTAGGGCAGGGCACTGGTTTTTCAGCTGCCTCCTCCTCAGAAATAAAGCCTATGGTCACTTGCTTTTCTGTGCCTTTGAAAGGCATGCGTGTTTGGGGAGAAGGAAAGTTCTCAGAGTTAGCCCATGTCTCTTTTTCTCCCTGAGCACCGAGGCCTTGGATGAGGCTGAGAGGATTAGCATCCTGGTACACAGGACCCCCTTCAGGCGCACTGTTACAGAAGCTCCGGGCTGAGAACCTGAGCCAAGTCACACAGACAGGAAGTGGCAGAACTGGGATTCAGACCCACATCTGTCTAACTCCAGTATCCACCATACATCCCTCCTCCTTCCACTTGGCAGGTGGGGTGAGAGGCCTTGAAATATTAAGCAACGTCACACAGTTCAGAATATCTGGAAAAAATCAGCACTTTGAAGTTTAATTCCTGGTCTACTGACTTCAGGCCAGCCACTTTAAGGCAACCCTGGGACTTTTCTCCCTAGAGCTGAAGTAACTCAGGGGTCCTGACAGTGAGTCCAACATAGATTTTAAAGGGCCCAAGACACAGAAGAATTTGCCAGAATATGCATTATGTTGCTAGTTCGAGTCACCACTGAATGAATTTATTGGCACAGAAATCAAAGAATTTGCCCAATAGTTAATTGAGGATAGTTGAATATCGTAATTAGTTTAAAAGACTTCTGCTTAGCAACTTCTCTTTTCCCCATATGAGCTGGGCATTTTCAGAGGTGGAGGTGATGGTATTCCTGATAACGAGGTCGATGGAAAGCCAAAAGTGACCATCTACTTTCATCTCAAGGCTAATAAATCCGTTCCAATTTTATAGTTGGGGAAGGCAAGTACAGGATGGTGATGACTTAGGCTAAAGCCCAAGGTGAAGAGAAAGGGACCTACACCTTCCCTCTCTGCTCTGTCTCCTGGAACATGCATTGAATAATAAATAACATTAGCTCTGCTCTAGTGAGAAAAAAGTGGTTGTCTTGATTATGTGTTCATAAATCTTCATGAAGAAGCAAGGAGTATGTGTATAAATGGGAAAAATAAAACAGAATAAAAACAAACAAACACTTAAAAAAAGATGAAGGAGAAATTAGAGTGGAGACATGTAGGTGGTAGACCCTAGAAAAGTCAAAAATAAGCAAAAAATCACTTTAAGGTTAAAGAGCTCACTGGACTCCATTCTCTGCTCCAGATGGGACGATCCTAAGCCGTCCTTGCTGAGTTTATTAGGAAGGATGTATAGAGAGAGTGTTGCCATCCTTGCCATTGCCTCGTCAGAATCTGTGAGGGAGCAGAGGGGGCAATGCTCTTACAGGGAAACTCCCGGGTTCTGTTTGAAGAATAGCAGAAAGAAACTAAGAATAATGCAGAGAATGGGCAACTTCGAGACTGTTGAGAGTCCAAAGATGTTCCACCCCAAGTAGTTATTTCTCAAAAGCTCTTGTTATGGGCTCTAGCTGTTAATATAAAACCCAACCCAATATCATCACTTTAAAAAATAGAGCATTGAAACTAATTTTTAACAATCATTCTAAGGGTTCATCAAGTCCAGATCACTCATTGTTCAAAGAAAGAAACTAAGGCCTGGAGGAAGGCGATGACTTGCTCAAAGTCCTCAGGAAAAATATAAACCTGAATTCACCCAACTTTGCTTTGGATCAACAACTTCCTCACTCAGAGAAGCCTGTTGTTATTTCCCCGAGTCAGTTCTCCAGTATGCGACAGTCTGTCTCATTGTGCGTACGTCTGCCCCATGCTTCGTCACGCAGTTATCAAGCCTCCTAAACTTCGTATTCTAGTTAGATGCATGTCACCCACCTATGCTTCTAAGAGAAGATTCTTTTTGAATACTCTGAAATACAAGCCAGAAATGTCCACTTATTTAGAATTTCCCAATACATGGCCCTCCCTCTCTTCCAATTGCACAAACACCAATGTTTCTCAGCTCAAATTCAGGAATTATACCTACCAGTGTGTATCACTGTGCCACCATATTCCCAGGGAGCAGATTTCCATATGCAACACAACACAGTTGAAAGCAACAGGTTAATACTGTCGCTGCACTTAGAACAACCATAGCTCTCTCAGGTGACTATCCCTAGGGGCAGGCTCATGGTTCACTGCCCTTGATTACATTCTTGGGAGCTTTCTGGCTCTATCCAGATCCGCCATTTGTCCTTGAAAAGCTTGACAGAACTCGGAAACTATGAGTAACTGTTGTTAGCTTCTCACAGGAAAAAGACTCCCTGAAATTTGGCCCCTTGGAGTCCAAGTCCAGTGATGAGATGTTCAGAGAGATAAGAGTGATCCTAGTCTTTACTGGAAGGTGCATTCAACTATTTCAGGATCAAAGTCTGATGTTGTTGGGGTTTGAACCGCTGATGAATTATGCATAGAGTATGGAGAGCTTGAGTTGGATTCAGAGATAAGTCACAGAATGGTCAGAGGATCACCTTAGAATAACTCACTCTGTGAGGGGCTTTCCTAAAGTGCGAAGACAGTCCCTACCTTGCAGAAGTTTTGGTCTCACTGGGAGGACACTCGTGAGCGACGGGCCTGAGTGCAGC